GTCACGGAGGAGACGCAGTTGAAGCCAATGCTCAAGTTTGTCCGCGGGGACTTGGACGACGTCCTCAGCTCCCAGCCCTCATCATCCTCATCATGGACCAAGAGCAGCAGCAAGAGAATCCCGAGCTCGGCTGCCACTTTATACTCTTGCCCCGCCCCACACTGCTTTTTACAGTCGGTCGCGGCGAATGGTATCCTGAAACACTTTGACCGAGTTTTGCTACATGCGGCTGGTGCTACGATGCCACTGCAGCACGGCCACATGCGGAAAGACAGAGGACGCTGCCGCGCCACATTCAGGACAGCTGGTCGCACAAGGATGCGCACGTGGTTTCGTCAACGCTGTACGGACTGAGACCAGTATTAGAAGTCTGACGCCGTCCTTGTAGACCTGGCCGTCGCGATCGTCCGTCCACCCCTCCAGCACGCTGGTATCGTAGTCCTCGAAATATGCGACGGTTCCGTTGAAAGGCCGCATGTTTATCAAGTCGATGCTGTTACACTCTCCTCCGAACATTGCGCGGAACAAGCAGACGGACAGGTCCCAGTGATCCGTAATCCCGACAAACGCAAGATCTTGCCGCAACCTGCTGATGGCCGAGCTCACGTCTTCTGGGGTTGGCACTTCCACTCGGTAAGCTGCCGCACAATGCAGCCAGCCATAACCTCTGCAAACTCCCGCGCGCTAGGCGTCGAGGATTGATATGGCCAGATCTTTTCTCCAGCCAGATATCTCATGGACTGGACCTCTGTGTTGTAGCAACCCGTAACCCGAGAGCACGCGATGCTCAGGTTGCCGCAGCATGGCAACGAAGCGCCCCGATGGAGCGGCCGCGTGTCTCTGCTCAGGCCTTCGTGCAGCTAAGAGGACACCGTGCTGCGGTATGAGTTGGGGAAGCCGTCAGGGTACATCTGCGCTCCCTCAGGCTTCGTGATCCTGGATGCCCTGATCGCCCACGGCCGCAGAGGCGTAAGTTTCCTTCGCCAGACTTGGCCCCAAGAAAAAAATCCTTGAATGTTTGCAAGGGGATGTATCTGCGAGTGCGCCCTCGGCAAGATGGCACGTTTTGCACGCGTGCTCAGAGCTCACCCAAAGACGATCCCAAGATGCCCCCATGACCACAAAATGGCTACAAGAAAGGCTCAGACAACAAACGACGACCTCCAGGCGACCCTGGGATGACGCTCCCCCAACATGATCCCAACATGGCTGCAGGATCGTCTGAAGCTGACTCTAAGATGGCCCGACCTAGAGCAACGAGTGACCCCGAGATGGCCGCAAGATGGATCCAAGCGCAACCGAGGCGGCTCAAGAATGACCCGACGACAACCGCGTGATCCAACAATGAGTCGGATATGGTCTCAAGATGGTCTCAAGATGATCTCAAGATGAGCTCAAGACGACTCCAACACGGCAAGGAGGCTGCAAATGTTCAGCCCCGTTTTACGTCGGGCCGACCCCAGGCTGGCGGGATCTGGGAACGGGACGGGATCTTGGTTTAGCCCATGTTTCACGGGTGGGATCTTGATGCGGCTGAACTAAACTCATTAGTACAGTCGGGGCGTTGACCTAAGGAACCCTAGATAAGGAACGATGGCCCTCTTCTCCACACATTGAACTTCGATTTCCCATGGAAAACCTGAAAAAAACCTAAGGCAAACTGTGCAACAACTAAGGAACACGGAGCCCCTCCCCAACGAAAAGGGTTCCTTTTTCAGCGCCCCGACTGTAGGGATTGGGCCAGGCAGGATCCGCCCGGCCCACGCAAGAAGGTTGCCGTGAAGGCTTCTAGGGGCGTATAGGGGGGCTCGGAAGGGGCGTCCTCTGACTTCCGCCGGCCTTTCGCCGGCCCTCTGCGTTCTCGGCGTCGGTTGTGCTTCCATCGAGTTCCGCTGGCGAGCGCCGTGGTCAAAATTCAAAGAACTTTCGTTGGGCCGATTAATGGGGGCATATCGCTGGAGTGCGGTAAAGCGTGTTGGCGAAAGACATCCCTGTTCCCCGTATGTGGAGCCATCCCACCAGCAAGATCATCTTCGCGCGCTCCAGCAAGCTCACGATCTCGTCGAGCGGCTTAGCAGCGGCTTTGTCAGGAGCGCCCGAACGTGTGCGGCCTGACTCTGCAGCAGACCCGTCTGCATCTGCTCGGCCTCACCATCGGCCCGAACCTCCGACCCTGCCAGCGACCCGCCCGGACCCTCGCCTGCCGCGCGCGCCGTCTCCGTGCGGGCCGCAGCGGTGCAGAGCAAGATGACCCGCGGCGCGAGCGTGGCGCCTTGAGTCAATATGGCTTCATCCCGAGCTCGGTTGTCCCGAAAAGTGCGACGACCGGTACCAGCTCTCAGCTTCGGCCCTCTCGGGCCTCACTTCGGGCCTTCGCGACCCTCGTGGAATCGATTCGTGATGATTCGTGGTTTGTGCTCTCGGAAGCCGGAGCGGGAGAAGGGGGGACATCACTCGCTTGCTGTGCATGGCCGCGGGTGCGCAGCTCGGACGGAGTCAC